GAAAATAAATCTTAATTTAAAGAGTCTAAGAGGAGATATTCAACGTGCTTCTTTAATCTGAACAACACTAAACAGTATTTGATATTAAATTATATAAAACTGAGAAGAAAGTCTTTATTTAACCAATTTCTCTGAAACACTGACTCTGTGTTCTCCTTCAGTGATGCTCACAGTACATCATAACTCCCTGTAGTGATATCACTGTGAGTCAATAACCTCTAAAGTGTGTTTGTGCAGAGATCCCCTCAGTGTCTCTGCTCCAGAAGTCCCCCTCCTCTCCAGTCAGCTGCCACGCTACAGGTTTCTACCCGGACAGAGCCCTCATGTTCTGGACCAGAGACGGAGAGGAGCTTCACGAGAACGTGGACCACGGAGAGATCCTGCCCAACCACGACGGATCCTTCCAGATGAGCGTGGACCTGGACGTCTCCTCATTCCCCGCTGAACACTGGGGCAAGTACCGATGTGTGTTCCAGCTCTCTGGGGTGGAGGAGGACCACGTCATCGTACTGGACTCAGCTGTGATCAGGACCAACAGAGGTAAGACTGCATCACAACGGCTCAACGGTTACTAACAATCAACAGACCCTGACAACATGTCATAGTCTCTCTCTCCTGAAACATGGGTCTCAGGGGAGAGAGACTAAGAATGGTTCAAGACAAACCCAGCATGACACCACGAGGAGAAAGGGGCCCTTCAGGAGCCTCAGACCTGATGCCCATCCTGAAGAAGCTTCCTTCCTCCGTTCAGATTGAGACTTCCTGTTGTTTCTGCTCCACAGGGAATCCCCACCTCCTCTTCATCATCGGTGCTGCAGTGGCTGCTCTCGCTCTCCTCATCATCGCTGGGATTGGATTCGTGGTTTACAGGAAGAGGAACGGTGAGAGACCAATCAGAAACCTTGTCTCATGAGTTCTCAGGTTGTTAATGTAAGGCTTTGAGGTAGCAGATCAAACTCAGAGCTCAGTGTAATGTGGATATGGAAAGCACTTGGTGTGTTTTCTACAGGGATAATCAGTGTGGTCTAGTTCAGGGGTTTTCAAAGTGTGGGAAGGTGAGCCTCCCCTCAGAGAACATAAGAACAGCCGTGCCCCCCCTCCCAATTATTATTGCTATTATTATTATTATTGATGTTGTTGCTATAATGCAGGGGTATTATTATCCAGTGGAATGCCCTTACCTACTGGCCTAGTTCAATCCAAATTAATGCTTCTCGTTTTGCGCCGTCCCGTTCAAATGAAATCGCCGCCGGGGGAGGGGTTACACGGCTCGCGTCTTGTGCTGCATTCACTTGATGAGCCACAACTTTTATTTCAAAACAAAGCTGCCAACTGGGGTGGCAAGGCTATTTCTAGGCAGTCGCCACCCCATGCCACCCCGGTAGATCCGCCCCTGCTTGACCGGTACTTGCTTTTGATCAAAGTCAATGCGGAAAACCCGCACTCACACAGGTAGGTGGAGGTGAAGGGAATGAGCACTCACACAGGTAGGTGGAGGTGAAGGGAATGAGCACTCACACAGGTAGGCGGAGGTGAAGGGAACTCGGTCTCCACAGACAGCCAAAAGTGTGCAAGTGACGTTTTCTGCCAGACGCTGTCTCCTCTCTCACTTTAGGTAACTAAGGTAACTTCACTTCACTACCGCTCGCATAAAGTTAGCTGAAGTTAACAAGCTAGATTTCACTGTTTCTCGTTTTTTTTTTCTCACGCTGCGCCTCACCTGAAGCTCTCTGGCGCCCCCCCGGGGGAGGTGCGCCTCACACTTTGAAAACCGCTGGTCTAGTTCCTTGTTGTGTACGGGGCGGTGGATTGAAACACTTTTCTCTGCTTTTCCTTTCAGACAAGAAAAACTGTCCCTCTCCTGCCTCCAGCTCTGAGCTCAAACCTCTCGAGGTGCAGAATTAGAGTTCAAACCCTTCTGCAGAGTGACGTCAGAAAGGCACGATGCTTTCAGAAACACACATAACACCAGTAACACCGATTAGAAACATTCACCTGTGCATCAGAAGCAGATCAAAGAAGTGACTCAGACATGTTTCAGGTCTGAATCAGGTAAACATGTTCTGTTCTGTGTCTTTAGGTTTATGCATCAGGGGGCGCTGCCACCACATTCTCCCCGTAAACTGTTCATTATTCATCATCTGATCAATAACTGATCATCTGATCAATAACTGATCATATTAGGGTTTGGAAATCAAGCAATAGCTCATTGATTGGAGAACAGAGGAATCATGTTATTTGGATCATTTGGGTTTCACATCAAAAGGTGGCTTTCCCTCTGATTATTGATTTCAATCTACAGTAATTTTAAGAGAAGCTAAACCTCTATGTGGTTTCTGGGTTTCTGGTTAAACAATCAATATTAAGTAACAGATACACACACACCACACACACACACATACCATGTATACATCACTTCAGGGGACATTACATTGACTTACATGCATTTCCTGGAGACTTATCCTAACCTTAACCCTTACCAAGTCTTCACCCTAAAATTAAGCGAGTCCCCACACGTGACTGTGTAAACAGATTTAGGTCCCCACAAGGATGGTAATGCTAGGCCACACACACACACACACACACACACACACACACACACACACACACACACAGGTAGCAGCGAGTGATATTGATTTCCCTTTCTGAGCTTTTCTAAATGAATCAGAAGTGTCTTTATTTATAACATGTCTCTTGAATTGGTTTTAAAACATAATAGTGTGTGATTTTGATAATGTTGCTATGATTTAGGGACAGGGAGGTTTTGTGTACATAGCCAGCGGACTGTGACGTTCTCTTTAGTTTGGGGTTCAGAGGTGAACGTGACATGAAGTCGCTCTGCATTGTTAACCCTTTCCTGTCCGTGTTTCACTTTCCAATAAAAACCCATCTCCCAAATGTCCGTCTTCTCGTCTTTCCATCAACACATGTATTGGTTTCTACTAGCGTCTCAGACACTAGAGGAAAGTGGATTTGATGTGAAACTAAAGATCCAATGGTTTACTGCTTTCTAAAAAGAAACAAATGAAAATGTTCTCTAATGGAGGAACATTTAACAAAATAAAGTAACTCTGAGTGATGTATTGATCTCTGTAATGTGTGTGTTATCAGTGTGTGTCGCTGCACTCAGCTGTTCTCAGAGCTCCTGCTTCAGAAACCTGTTGAGGTGAAATCTGCCCGGCAACTGATGACGTTACCATGACGACTGGGAATAATACAGTTCTGTGTTGTTAGGAACATTTAGTGAGGCTCAAACATTACCTTTGGGTTTCCATTGATCTGAAGTCATTTCCATCAGAGACACTTTCACTTACAAAATCAATCATACTATATTATTAAATATGTATTATTATTATTCTATTAATAATTTTTTTAATATTTATTATACATTTGTATTATTATGTAAAAATGTAATGTATAATTCTATGAATTCTTATTAAATAAGTATTATTATATTTATATTCAGATGATATCTAATACTTAAACTCCATCTGCAGGTACAAACACAATCACCAGACCCTGAAAGCATCTCCTCTCCAACACCTGAGAATCAAACAGATCAAAGTTCACGTCTATCAAATATATTGATCATAAATATGGTTTTATTTCTGAGATAACAGAAAGCAGGAAATGAGGTTTGGCACATCCTGCGTCTCCGGGCTCACATTTCACCAGCAACCGGAAACATCAAAACCATGATGTCATCATCAGGTGACACATCGACCAAATCCATCGCCATGTTGTCAACAGGTGTGTGAATCCACAAAATGGAGACTGGAGGTTTTTTAGAGAGGAATAGAATCTATTTCTGGAGGTTTTAGGAACATTTCAGGAGTTTCCTCTGAAAGAGAGGAGATAAAGAGTGATCTGTGAAGAGTGATCTGTAGAGAGTGATCTGTAGAGAGTGATCTGTGAAGAGTGATCTGTGAAGAGTGATCTGTACAGAGTGATCTGTGAAGAGTGATCTGTAAAGAGTGATCTGTGAAGAGTGATCTGTGAAGAGTGATCTGTACAGAGTGATCTGTGAAGAGTGATCTGTGAAGAGTGATCTGTACAGAGTGATCTGTGAAGAGTGATCTGTGAAGAGTGATCTGTAGAGAGTGATCTGTACAGAGTGATCTGTGAAGAGTGATATGTAGAGACTGATCTGTAAAGAGTGATCTGTGAAGAGTGATATGTAGAGACTGATCTGTAAAGAGTGATCTGTGAAGAGTGATATGTAGAGACTGATCTGTAAAGAGTGATCTGTAGAGAGTGATCTGTGAAGAGTGATCTGTGGAGAGTGTTTAGGATATGACTGAAGGATTAGAGGAAATACACTAAAATAAGATAAGAAGCACTTTATTGATCCCAAGTTGGGAAATGTTTGCGTTGCAGCAGAATTGTAGACATGTCATTGTACAATACAAATTAAAATACTAGAAATAATCATTACAAAAATGTAAACATCTCAATAGATATAAAATAAAATAATAATAAAATAACATTTAAAAAAAAAGAAACATATATGTTGAATTACAAATGTACAGTAACAAAATATAAAGCAGGATATGATATATACATAAGTATGAGAGGAATGGGATATTAAATATTAGATTGAATATAAATGTAAAATGTACGGTGTGATTTATAGTGTTGACAGTTCTGCTGTTTGAGTGTCCGTGTCAGACCTGACCTTCACCTCACGACCTCTATGAAGCTTACCATTGATACAAAGATGCTGAATTGGCTGTGAATAGAAAGGATGTATGTTTCCATCATGTCTTTTCAGACGTGTGAGACCAGGCATGTGGAAACTAGACAGAACATTCTGAACTTTTGACCTATGCGCTCTACGCATTCTAGATGGGGCAATACACGCGTAAAAGATCCAGCCACAATTCAGAGAAGGCGCTTGTGTTCTTTGACACCTTGAGAGCGGTTACAGCGGGTATGAAGACACTGAGGCACAGGATGCAGGCGGCCTACGCAAAGGGTCGAATCAACTTCCTGGGCCAGCGAATCGTAGAGACAAGCTGTCCTTTTGTCTCTGTTAATAAATGAAGACTGGGCCTGGGCTCTTTTAGATGACTTTAGGACATTTGACTTGTGAACCTGTTGCTTTTGTATTTTGACTTTGTATCTTTGTTATTTTTTAGGATTCTTGTAATCCTCTATTTTTGTTAAAACGTTAATAAAACCGGTTTGTGCTTTGTACATTTCGACGCAACTCCTGGTCTCTCTCGTGGTCTCTGAAGGTTTCTACTTGATCTAAAGGCCGCTACACACCCACCTGAGACCAAAGAACGCGTACCGAAGGCGTCCCGACTTTTACGTCAGCTACGTCGCCTACGCCGCCCGCCTACGAACACACCGCAAATACTTCAGTCGACGAGTGGCAATAACTGTCCTTACCAGCAGGCAGCGGTAGTGTGAACAGCCAATCAGAGTGATTGCTTGGGCCGACTTTCTCTGACCTCCCGCGGGAGGTGTGAAAAGGTGCCGTAAAGAGACGACGGTGCGGGACACACCAACCTGAGTAGGGCGCCGCAAATGCCCGA